CATATGCATGTATATATATCGTCGTGGAGCACCGCCGCCCTCGTTAAATCCATGCGTTTATGTATACGGCGGAGCACCGCCGCCTCGTTCACCCATGTGTACAGACATATATACGACAGAGTGGAGCACCACCACTCTTGTCACACCGCCCTATCTCGTGGCCTAGTTGATCAACATTCGTATTATCGTTATCGTTAATGCTAAACAATCACACCAGGCGAACCGCTACCGTTGATGATGTACTATATATTGGTTTTGTTTTTGAAGCTAGATGGCCAACCGAGAAACATGGATGAGGAGGAGTTGATGATGAATTTGATCAACACCGGCACTCAAGTTGCGGCGATGATGGTGCTAAAAATAATGTGCAAGAGGATGTAGATGACGGAGTCAAGATTTAGCTCTTGAACAAAATGAGCAACAACAGATTGGCCAAGTATATATATTTTTATTATTAGCTATATATATTATCATATGTCTTTATGTGTGCTCATGACATTAAAAATAATGTTTATGTTTTGTAGCCCTCTGGATCGACATCAACAACTACAACGAAGAGTAAAATGTTCGAGGTCCCAAAAAGCCATTGGAGGGCCGCTTCATCATCTCGGAGTTCAATGTGGATCTCTGGAGAGAACCGGGGGCGAATAAAATGAAATTTGTGCACCACTGTGGTTACCTTTTGTACGGGACCGCTCCCGATTAGTACCCGTGAATGGAAGAAGAAGACCAATGCTCCTCATATCGCAGTTTGTCTCCGATCGTGACAAGGCGTTAATTTGGAATGATGTCTTGGTACATTTCACGCTCCAAAACAGATGGTTATGATGATATAATAGATGGTGATGAATTGAAGGAGCGAGTTAGGGATTGGGCAATGAAGAAGATGGCCACCCAGTTTCAGACTTGGAAGAAACACCTATACACGACGTATGTCAAGAAGAACATAGCACCAGATTTTACTGTCCCAAGCCCGATCTCAAAGCAGAGGCCCTATTGGGATGAGTTTGTACAATACAAGACTTGGAAGAGGGTGTGAGTCGGGTGATAAAGAACCAACGTAATGCCCAATGTGAAGACATACCACCATACCTTGGGATCGGTGGCTACCCAACCGCCATTAAGAAGTGGAACAAAATGGAAGTAGACCTTCTTGCCAAGGGTATCGACTAGAATCACTCGAGTGGGGAGAAGCGTGCAAAGAATTGGTTTTTTCGGTCATGGGGAACACTAGACCAGAGAGATGTGGAAGTGCGTTTATGGCGCAAGAGGCGCAAGAAGAAGCAGAAAGATTGTTTTATGCTCAGAGAGAGCTCTTGCTAGTGGTGCGTTCAGGCCCAACAGAGAGAAGGATGAGCTGACATACGCCATCGGGACTATTGAACATGGTGGCCGAACTAGAGGCAAAGGAAGTGTCTCGTGGGAGCATGGATTCCCTCAGGACAGACCTTCTTACAGAAGTCGCCAGAGAAAGAAGGAAGAAGAGGCAGAGCGGCTCCAGAGATTGGAGGAAGCGGTGCGTGAAGCACAGGAGCGGGAAAAAAACCTTGAAGCAAGAATGCAGGAGGAAATCAGAAGGCAAGTGCAAATAGCAGTGAGTGCAAGTAAGCAGGCATCAGAGCCAGAAATCAACATTAGCCAATCTATTCAGTTGAAAAGCAGCTGCGCTTCCACGGAGATACCAAATCAAGGGGACACAGGATGCGCGCCTCCTGTGGATGACGCCATTGAACCTTGTACAACGTGTGAGCTACACATTCGAAGGAGAATTCTACAATCAAGGTGGCTATCGGTCTTGTTAATCCTATCGACCGAACCAAGACACCAAGGATTCATGGGAATATAATCCAAGAAGGATATGCTACCATCTCGGTAGATAAAGTGAAAAAGGTTTTAGTGATTTGCCTCTTGACATTCTCGGAGGTGATGGCGAGAAGACTCTAGGAGAAGCGGAGAAGACATTCATTCTATGGCATAAGCGCTACATCATCATTCCGGGGATGTCGGCTCCACCTCCTCCCTGAACTACCTCACCATAGGTACGTGCGGATGAAAACACTACATCATTAATTTGTATTGGCTTAAATAATTAACAATCTGCTCATAATAATATGTCATTCCTTTTTTTTTGTAGCAGATCCTCCCCCAACCTAAATCCAATTGTTCAATCGCCAGATCATCATAGTGCTCAGTACGATGACATTATGTTGGAAGACGAGGCTGCATCTACACCATCTCCAAGGAGGTCTCCAACGCCGCAGCCGCCACCTCCAAGGAGGTCTCCAACGCCACTGCCAACACCTCCAAGGAGGTCTCCAACGCCTCCCCCGCCCCCACCTACCAAGAAGCCTAGCAAGAGGCCAACCCCTCAAACGAAGAACCAGTCCCCGCCTGCAAAGAAAGCCACCGTGAAACCAAGGGCTATTCCCAAAATAATATCTGAAGAGAAGGAAGAAGGAACTGATGCATATAAAAAAGACATGTCTAGATTCTATGACAAACTTAAAATGAATCAAGAAGCAAGGAGAAACCCGGAGAAACCGTACTTCTTCGTAGCTCCAGATATTCTAAGAAAAAAGGTGACTTCTTACTAGCAACAACAGCGGGAATCTCGTAAGCCGTCCAAATCAACATTATCAGACTATGACCGCACTCTCACCAAGTCAATTGAGGCGGCACAGAAAAAGAAGCGGGCAGGAAAAGGCATTGCCCAACTCGGACAACAAGCGCACCAATCAATCCCCCCGCTAGTTGTTGGTAATGAATATGGTTCGAATTTAGGATTAATGCATCAGGCAAACATACCTCTGGATGTCGATTTGGATCACCTTGGTGAATTTCTTGATGAGACTGGTCTCGATCTTTACCAGATGTTTGGTGATGGAAACATTGAGAGTGCGCGTGAGGTTGATATTTGGAAAAAAAATTTGTACTAGGCCGAGTCTATATAACCCTCAAGCCTTATCTCGATCTGGGGACATAAATGTACCGCTAAACAGTGGTACATGCAAAGCGTCTACCAATGGAGACTTCTGCGTTGGTGTCGTAATTAGAGGCGAACATTGGTTCCGTGGCGATGATGTTATGTATGTTGACTTTGCGTAATTTCATCAACTATGCCACCGACCTCTCCGGACAAAGTTATCATTAGCTGCTATTGCCTGTAAGTAATAATTCTTTTGATCTATTATTAAACTCATCATATGTGTGTATATGCATATAAATTATCCTAACAAGTACTATATATATGCAGATTTACAATGACAGAGCTCAGAAAGGAAGGCTGCAATGAAATTGGTTTTGTTGATCCCCATATAGTATTCGAAGACCCAATTACTCCAAAGACTAATTGGAAGTCTAAGTCAGAGAGTAACCTCATGAACTTCTTAGTGAACCAACGCCACAAGAAGGATATACTCTTTCCATATAACTTCAAGTGAGTGTTAATCATGTCGATCATATCCTTAATGGCTCATATGTTGATTCTAGTTAATTAATGAGTGTTATGCGTTATATCCTATAAACACATGCAGCAATCACTGGATATTGATGGACATCGATCTGGTGAAAAGTCACTTGATAATCTATGACTCGATGAGAAAACCACAACAAGACTACCAAGATATGATAGATATTATCCAGAGGTAATTTCGGGATCTCTAGCAACTATATATACACACAAACATGATGATTAACTATATCTGATGACGTGGCAAATTTTTTATTGGGCAGTGTTTGAAAAATCTTTATTGAGAAGCAACACATGGAAAAATGCAAAGCGCCACTGAATGTAATCCCTTTGAAAGTAAGTCCCCTGAATCGCATCATCTTTATTAATTAAACATATAGCTTTCACCGGATCACCAGATTGGATGACAAATCTTTTTCTCGTAAAGTGGTGTCTAAGGCAGGAACAGGGGAACAACTACTGTGGTTACTATGTTTGCAAGTTTATCAAGGTGCTCTCCCAAAGAACTACTACAGAGAGACTCAAAGTACGTTAAAAATACACTATATATTCATTTAATTATTATTATTGATTGTGTTACTATGTCTTTATATATATATATGTACATATATTAATTTATTTTCCTTTAATTCAAACCTGTAGACTCGATGGTTGGAGGAAAAGGTCATACGGCAAGACCAAATCAAAGCAATTCAAGAGTCTATAGCCGGATTTTTTAATGAGCAGGTCATCGATTCCAAGGGCGAGTTCTACTTCGACCCAACACTGCCATTGAAGCCAAGCTAGAGGATGAGAGAAAACTTGTTATGTCACAACAACTGTAATGCAATCTTTTGTAATATATGCACATGAAATAATATAATGTAAAATACACATATGCATGCATGCATGTAAATATATATATGATGCATGTATTCATATATATATATATATATATATATATATATATATATATATATATATTTCTATGCTTGAATTGTGTGATTTAATACGTTTATTGTGCTTGAACCGAAACATACTATATGCGCGTATAAATGTATAATTAGCAGCGTACAATACGATTTCGAAAACCTATTTTGAAAAGAAAACAAAAAAATAAAAAGAAAAGAAAAAAGAAAAAAACCTTTAGTCCCGGTTCGTATTACCAACCGGGACTAAAGGTGTCGGCCATCGTGGCATGTCAGGAGGCACCTTTAGTCCCGGTTGGTGTTACACACCGGTTCCTGACCCGGGACTAAAGGACCCCCTTTAGTCCCGGATGCTTGCTCCCGGGTGGAGAACCGGGACTAGAGGGGGTTCCCCACCGAGAGTAAAGCTCGGTTCTCTACCAGTGTGTAGATTCAGCTGAGATGTTCACGGCAGAGCAGAGACAAAAGGACCAGTAAATTTCTTCTCAGAAATCGATTCGATAATAATGCAATTTACAGTACGTCTCAACATTACATAAGCGATTACATGACCTGCTCGTTTGAATAGACTGATCAGATCTTTAGTTCTTTACATCCAAAAATCGAAGGACTCTTTCATCAGGTTACACACACCGCTGGAGCAGTGGAGCGACGAGCAGCTGCTTCTTGGGCAACGCCGATTCCACCTCTTCGTTCCTGAGCAGCTCCATCGCGTCGACCTTGGCAAACCATGGGTGTTTGAGCGCGGCGGTCGCCGTGAGCCGCTTGTCGGGGTTGCACGTCAGGAGGCCATTAAGGACCTCGAATCCTTGCTGGGACAGCACTGCCTCAGGGAACATCTTGCGTAAGTGGTTGTCATGATGCACGTCGTCTAGTATCGGCAGCAGCTCGGTGGCGAACGGCGTGGACGAGAACCAGGGCCAAGTACTGTCGTCTGGGTAGCCGAGCACGTCGAAGATCGAGCGGGCCTGTCCTTCCTCGTCGCGGCCATCCTCGAATAGCACCTGGCCATTGATGAGCTCAGCCATGACACATCCCAGCGACCAGGTATCGACGAGCGCGTCGCAGTCGGGCTTCTCCAGCAGCACCTCGGGCGCCATGTACCACAGCGTGCCGTCCGGCTCGTACGTTGACGCCTCGGACATGGACATGGCGAGCCCAAAGTCACAGATCTTGACGGCCTTGCCATCGTCGCTGATGAGGATGTTGTTGGGCTTGATGTCGCGGTGGATGATGCGTTCCTCGTGCATCTTCTCGGCGCCCGTCAGCAGCTGCCACATGATGGTGCGCACCGTGGCCTCCGGGAGCGGCAGGCCGCCGCGGCGCCGCTGAGCACGGAGGAACTTCTCGATGCTTGGCCCACCGACGCACTCCATGACGAGGCGGAGCTCCGTGGTGGCCGGATCGCGCACGAGGCCGTGGACGTCGACGATGAACGGGTGGCCCCCGCACGCCTCGTGGAGGCGCGCCTCCCGCAGCAGCTCCTCGGGACCGCCGCCGTCGGGCTCGGTGATGCGCTTGATGGCGACGGTCTCGCCGGTGACGCGGTGCCGCGCCTTGGCGACGGCGCCGAAGGCGCCCTTGCCGAGGCAGCACATCTCCTCGTAGTCGTCGGTGCTGCCGAAGGCGTCGACGCGGCTCCTCTTGTTGTAGGTCGTCGCCCCTGCGGCGGCGGCGACGCCCGGACGACTCTCTCCCGTCGCCGGCGTAGAGCTGCCGGGTGAAGAAGTGGCAGATCCCGCTGCCTGCTCCCTAGTCGGTGGCAACATCTCGGCGGGATTGAGGTCTGCTGGGAGGACGGCGTTCCGACTGATCTGGGGTCTGGGCGGCGGAGAAGGAAGGGGTTTTAATTTGGCCAAGAGTCTGTTATCACTTATCAGTTACGGTTACGGGTACGTATTCGACACGCTAAAGTTTAGCGACACGTAAAACCAGCTAAGGGGCTGTTTGGACACGTAGTAAACATTTACAAGTGTAAGAGCTTTCCATTTGTATTTTCTTGTGCACAACAGGACCAGTGTAATTAAAATCCTCTGAAATTTTCTGTTTGGGAGAAGTAAAGAAATCAAGTCCTTTTAAAGTGCGAGAACGATCTCTAGCTAGTGGCCGAAGCAGTCGACGAGAATAGACAGAGCCATCTCGGCGGTGGGACGCGGCGGTGAGGGTGCAGCGGCTGCGAGAAGCGCATCATCGGCAGCGCCAAGCGAGCCGGCGCCGCCCGCTCACGTGTCGATTGGACGACTCGCAGCCGCTGCAGGCTCCGACGAGGCTTGACGCGGCGACGGCAAGGCCCTGGCGCCGGACAGGATGCCACCTACAGCTGGTCGCTCGTGCACACCGCTGTAGAGACCGAGCGGCCGAGGGCCTGCGGATCGCTCCGCCTCCGCCGACCATCGGGGCCGGGCAGCTCGCTCGACGACATCGCCGGCAAGACGATGGAGTCGGGGCGGGCGTGGCCGAGAAGACAACGCGGAGTTTGGCCGATCGCCTCGCCTTCGCTGTCTCTGCGGTGCCCGATATCCGTCGGGAAAAAAATAATTGCCAGTCGAGGCCATTTTTATTTTCCGCCTATAACCGTGCAAACCAGCCGTATTATTTTATTTGATACCGGTTATCCAAACAGTGTTTCAGAATTACACATGGAAAATTAGTGTGGGCTGTATTTTACAATGGTATTAGATCTAATACTTGCCTTCTAACCTAGTCCATGTCATATCGAATATTTGGACACTAATTTAGAATATTAAACATATATTAATTACAAAACAAGTTGGTTTTACGTGTTTGTGCTTTCATGCTTGTTTGGCCCCGGCCACGTCCATGCGCGTGCAAGACAACCGGTCTTCCTGGGCGTACTAGATTAGACAAAATTCCGGATTGATGTGTCGGACTTCAGCCAGAGACTTGACAAAAGGCTTGTTTGTGAGTTTTTTCAGCTCTGCTCCACCAACTTTATCGTGGAACAACTTTAGTGTAGAGTTTCTGGAGCAAGTGATCATGCTTGGCACACAGGTTAGCTTCAACTATAGGAACATGAGGTTTCTCTAAGAAGGGTCTAATATAGCCCCTGAATGATGTTTGGTGTATGTTTTGATGTATGCGGAGCATGTGTAACTGAATTATTTTTTCTCAATTCAAATATGATGTAAAATATTATTGTTGGGAAAGTAGTCCCAACAGTCTACATACCAGGATGTCTCTGCACGAGCGAAGGTTCATCCAATCAGGATAACAAGGCAGATGACACGATTAGGGTTTCCTTGATGGTTCTCTCTCTTTACATGAGGTTTGCTCCCCCCTTTTTATAGTTCATTGTACAAGGTAAAGTTCTTTTACATCTATGCCCTGCGATCAGCAAAGCATATTCTAGGGATATACCCGTACACTAGCAAAACCTTGGAGGTATCTTAGGTCCTCCCTCCTTACCGCCTCGCCTCATGAGCCTTTGCTTTGAGCCCGCTGGAAGCCCTGTCCACAGGCGGTGAAGGCTTGGCCATCGCTGATCTTCATTGTCTTCCGAGTTGACTTGTCATCTTCCCACCAGCAACACTTCGCAACGTCCACCTACGTGCTCCCCCGCAATGAGCCCCGGGCCTTCGCTGAAGGAGCCTTCGCAGGTCAGCCTAGGCGCAAATAACCGAAAACCAAAAACCAAAACCGAAGTAACCAAAACTGAAATATTTGGTCCCAAATTCGGTTCTAGATTCTGCGGAACCGAAATAATTATGGTTATTTTGGTTCAGTGCTCGGTTAACTGAAATAACCGAACTTGCAATCTAAAGGCCCATAAGAATGCAGCCTAACCCAATACACAAATAAACTCTACATATACACAAATAAACCGGATGCCATCGCCGTCGCTATTCGTCTGATGCGGCAGGGGTCAATAGTGTATCACCGCCGAATCATTTAGTAACCCGACACCGACAAAAGGATCATCACGGACGGATTGTATTGCAATGCGATGGTGATCGTGCCCTATGACCAGATGGTTCATACCATGAAGCGACGGTGATGTTTGCCTCGACACAGGCAGGTTATGCTCCAATACGACAGAAACAAGGACCTCATCAGGAACAGATCATAAGCCAATACGACGGTGTTAAAATAAGGATCTGATCATGGACGTATCATAAGCCAATGCGGTGGTGTTAGTGTACATCATAGTCGGTCTCAGATGCCTATGGTGAAGGCTATGACCATCACTGTCGACAGCTTACTGCCGAAGCCAAAATTGGACTGCGATGGGAGTTACGACGTGGCTGTGAAAGGTCTAAATGTAGTAATGGCTTAAATAGATTGTGTAGCTTAGTTGTAGTTAGTTAACTAGTTGTTTAGTTATCTAGCTAGCTCTCTAATCTAGGCAAGTAGTGACATAGCCTTTGTGTGCCTTAGTATCATAATTCACTAGTGTTGTGGGTAGGTGGCTTGCTATTTGATTAGAGCTAGAGCAAAACATAATTATCGTCATTTAGTTATCTAATCAGTTGCTCTAGTGTTTTGTAAAAGAATTTTTATTAGGTTATTCACTCTCCCACTAGCCTTTTAGGACCTTTCAAGGTGCCGTTCATCTGGAGGGGCAGAGAGGCGAAATCTTTTTAATAGGAGACCTCCTCCTCGCATCGAGCATAGTCTGGTCTGACTTCTTGTACGAGACCAACAACCTCTTGGGCGCCTGTTGAGCTTGAAGCTGGGCAAGGCTAACGAAGGTTTTGGTAGTCGTATCATTGTTCTCTTCCTCGCCGGTGAAAAAGTGTTGCCCCTCAAAAGGTTCCATCTCAGGGGCTATAAGCGGAACAAGGGCGCATCCATCAGACACACAGAAGAATTTGGAACCCTTTCTCCGGTAGATGTGTATATGTGTATCCAAGAATCCGTTGACTACGCAGGAAGAGCAAAATCTCATGCCACAATATGTTGACATCCACATGTTTTCTTTGGCTCCGCAAGCACCGCACCTTGTGAGGGCCAAGGGCTATTTAGTTTAACTGTGATATATTTTTAGCACCCTAATCCTAATCAAGACAGATATTTATCCTTTAGTTTATAGAACTATAATCTATGTCTCCCCCTTTAGGTTCTTTACTTAATAAATGATATAATAAACCATTAAATAATTATTAAACTATTGATTATTGAGTGTTGATCACAAGAGTATGTTGATCGATATGATGAATGCTAAATGATGTGTTGTAACTAACGGTTCCAAATAGGAGAGAGAGAGGGAGGAGAGAGCTCAACAGTGGAGAGGGAAGCACTAGGGTTTTGAATAAGTGGAAATGGGTGGGAGGTGGGGTCCCTTGCCCTCATGCCCTTAGGCACTTCTGTAGGCAATGGCCACTACTTACAAGTGGCCCCTTGGTGGGGTTGGATTTCATATGACACTATGCTACCTGCTAGTTGGGCCTCTTCTAGGGGGAGATTTGGCCCATATATCTCATGGGCTCCCATAACAGTAGTCCCTCAACTATTGGGTTATGGATGGTACAACATGTCCTAATAGATGCTCGTACTAAACGAGGCTCAAATAGAACTCGAACGTTGGTCGCGAGGATGACCCTTCGCAACCTACGCGTGTGCGCCTCACTAAAAACTCCATCCCAAAAACCTGTGGGAAAAAGGGCACGGAGAAAAGAGCACACACATGACTCTACTCTATACAAGTGCTAACTCAGGAAGCCACTAACTCCAGTGCCTTGATGTCGATCTCCATGGTATCTTCATATTTGGGCTTGGGCTTCGGCTTCCTTGGACGCTTCTATGGCATGGATTGTTAGCTTCGCTCGACACATAGATCTTTGCCTCTGGGAGCTTCTCAATGTGCAGATCTTTCCTCTAGGACCTTCACATTGTGTAGATCTTAATCTCTGGTCTAGGACCTTCTCTGTGTGTAGATCTTTGCCTTTGGGACCTTCTCGTCTGAGGCTTCACGTGGAGACACACCTTCACTTCATGAATGGTTGTAGTCATCGTAGTTGATGTACTTGAAGGAGTCATAGAGAAAGTTGCCGTGAAGCCTCCAAATCTTCTCTCATGAGCATCAAGCAAAAGACTTCACCATCTGGAGTGTCAGGTCCTCTAGTATTCTCCCCTAGCTCCTCTTGGCTGGTGCTTGTGACCGAATATTTAGTTGTGCATGTACGTTGTAGTTGACTTAGTCATAGTAGCCATAGTAGCATAAGTCGATTTCTAGACCAAAGTTGTTGGTGAGCCCCTCGAGCCGATGTGGTTGAGGAAGGTGAAGTAGACCTCGGTGCCAAACGAGTTGATGTAGCCCCTCAAACTAGGTGATGAAGGCAAGTTTTCGTAAACGTTGATGCCAAAGGTGTCGACAAAGGCTCTCGAGCTGTTGTAGTGGCCAAAGATGATAGTGAAGCCCCTTCTATTGATGTGTTGGTGAAGACGAGTCATCGTAGTCACCGAAGATGATGTTGGCGAAGCCCCTCATTGAAAGGTCCAAATGGCTAGAGGGGGATGAATAGCGTATTAAAAATTCTACAACAACACTAAGCCAAGTGGGTAGATAAATATGAGGCGAAGCAAGTGTTGCGCTAGCCTACTAAAAATGCAAGCCACCTATCCATAATTCTAGTTGCTACTATCATAGAACCGACCAATTTATAAGACCACAAGTACAATGGCAACAATTGGGGCAGTCGCACGGTCATACTTGAGCCCATATAAACCCGATAGTCCGTCGAGTGTCACGAAGGACCTTGAATCATAACCAACATACAAACAAAGATCATACATGATTCAACATACATGT